TTCGATCGAATAACCACTGCCTAGCAGGTGTTTAGGAATCAAAGATCGTGAGACTCTGTCTTCTTGCTTGAAAAGCAAATTAGGCAAGTGTTCAGCGGCCCTGGCCGTCAGTTGCTTCTGCGTACGCCCAATGTACTCAAATCCGCAATTGCACGTGAACTCATAGATAGAATTCAGGGTGGCATGTAGCGGAGAGGCATCCTTTGCCCCGTTTGCCGAAAGGCCTTTAGTGGGACTGATGAAGACAAGTGCAGCTGCGTTGTACGTTCTTTCCATGGTACAAAGCAATCGTCACTTGGGTGTATTCGAAATACTACATGTAATTATGGGCTTTTTTGAGACTGTCTGTTCCGTAAATTTTGGCTGTAAAGGATTGCTATACGGTTGAATGAAACGCACAGGATAGCGACAGTTAATTAATGCTACTTTGATGCGGGAAACCTCTGCGGGTAGAATCTCACTAGAGCAAATATTCCTCGCTCTTTGAAAGAGCAAAGGTTTCAGAACTGCAAACTCCGAAAAGCTAAAATAATCCCTTTACCCCACGTGCTAAAGTTGACAAAAATTTAAAATATTCTATAAAATGAGTATAAGAAACAAATACAAATACTTTAAGTACAGATTTAAGACACACTAATGGTAACCCTCCCCCTCCCCCAATACCCGATTTTTTTCCGAAATTCCAGAAGGATAAATACTATCGGGCCATAACGCCTAACCATAAACAAAACTGTAGACCGTAACCAGAGGTCTGTGAACTGCTGTATAGAAATCGACTTCAGAGTATGTGCCTTCTTAGTCAGCTTTACGAGCGGACAATTGGGTAATCATATGAGTGCACAACTAAAACCAAAGTGGTGAATATATATGGAACAGCTGAAGACGCGTAAGCACGTGGACTGGGGCCATTTAACCATGTGCATTTTAATTGCATAAACTCCAACCCTTCGCCACGCCCACAATGTCCACAAAAAAGGCAGGAAATCGGTGTGGATTGGGACCGGGTCCACGCCTGCTACCACCACCGTCACAAGCGTGTTGGTTCCAACTCGCTCAAAAGCCACAGAGGAGGGGGTTGGATTGTGTTCCGCCAAGTAGAGTTGCCACGTAGGTCACAGCATTGTGGACCGACGACCCTCAGCTCAAAGGAGGATCAAATTATCCCGCCAACTGGTAACAATCCAGGTCACGAATGATAGCATGCAGTGGCAGTTTAAAGGGTGGCGGATCCAGAAGGATCAAAATAATGGTCCGGACTAAGTCGAATGGAGATCAGACGCATGGCAGGGTTGGCCTAAAGCCTCCTAAAAACATCCTTTCGACCGTCTACAAATTCGGACTCTGTAAAGAAGTTACTCGTATAGTATCCACAATTCTTCCACTGATTTTCGAAAAATACTTTATAATTGAAATAAATTTTATCAGGAACTGGAAAAACATTCTTTTTTTCTGCTTATTTGGTAACAAATTACGCTTTTTTTAAAAAACGAGTACATTAAAAGAAATAGCACTATTCAGTTTTGAAAATTCCACTGACTGTGAGATTTCCCAAAAGCGTACAATGTCCATCCAAGTAGCTTTGAACCTCTCTGTTTAGTAGGGCTTTTCATGAAGTCTGCGACATAATCAAGATCCTTTGCACAATTTTTGGAGCCCTATACAGTATCTTCCTAGTAGCACGGAGAACTATATGATTTTACTTACATGGAACATAGTCTCTAAACCCTGAACTCAAATAAAACAGTAGATAAGGCTCAAAATTATTCCAAAGTAGAAAACAGTTTTTTTAATCGAAAACTAACCGTCCTTCTGGTAGAAAAACTGAAGAAGACTTAATTGGCTATCAAATGAGGACAGTTAAACGAGTAAAAAAAGTATACTTTTTAGTTATCCTTTTTATCGAGTGCGGTTACTGGGGGGCGACTGAAAAGGGGTGTACTCGAGATCCTGAAGTGATCCAGTGATAAGGCTGCACAGTGATCAGTATTACAATGAGCAGTAAATGAAGGCATCATAAAGAATATAGCAAGAAGTCTAATCGAGAAGTTGACGCGATCGATGGGACAAGAACTTTTTTCGTCTGAAGTATCGGATTCATGCTCGAACCTACATCATCAGTTCTTGAGCTAGCGGTCGCGCTTACCTTTCCTCAACTACTTCCCGCGACCCATACTTTCACTTTTACCGGCAAGGAGCCCAATACTCCGTCCACAGTTGGCCGCTTTTCCATTCCCGACCCTTAGCACCTTCGTACTGTGGTCGTGCCTGATCTAGTCGGTCTCCATGATGTACCCAACTCTTCATCTCCACGCCAGACGATTTGCGGTAGCAGAACTGGACAACTCAACCCACTCTGCTAAACCAGAGCGAATACCGAAAGTCCTAGAACCACTTCCGTATCTAAACTAACTGTGCCAAGCCACGTCTTGAGTTGACTTCATCTTCGACGGCGTCGGGTCGGAGCCGGTAACACTGAGTTCGCGGGGTGAACAACGAAGAACGTGGCCATGTGATCGCTGTCTTCTTTCTAGGATGATCTTGTGATGAGGTGGTAACGAGTGCGGAGACGAAGTCGGCGTAATTCATTCGAAGGAGCAGCGGTGATGAAAAACCTCCAGTTTTCGCCCATCTGCCGTGCGCACAGCTCAACATTCATGACCACGGAAGCGGACTGACCAGACGGATGTACGGTACACGCAAATCCGTGCGGTTATGGAGGTGTCGCGTCGGGTCCATAAGCACTTTCTACGGCTTGAGAAAACCCAACGAGCCGCATGCATCCGGGAGATAGTGTCATCCTTACTCTGTCCATGCGGTACCAGCCTTCAAGTTGACAGCCATCAATCGCCAAAGGGGTCTTTTCCTGACTATGGATGCTGCTTGAAAACACATTGGTTTTCGCAGCGTTTATGCGTAAACCGGTCGATTTAGCGACCCCATTCACTCGTGACATCAGACGCCACAGAGCACCATTGGTTGCCCAATAAGGAAGGCAAGAACGTGATCTAAACTGGATCGACCCAACCGTTACAACACGTAGCATGTCCGAAAAGCAAGCAGGCGTTTTAACGACAGACAAAAGGCGAGAAAGGGGGAGAAACTCACCATTTCAACCAGCTGACGACAGCGCAACTGGACCAACAGCTCCGGATAACGCTCGACCACCTGGGGATAGAATTTTGTCAGCGCGGCAGCAGCTCGACCGTACTGGCAGCGCCGGCAAAGGGTTCGCAGACGGCGTCGATGAAGCATACTGGTCAGTCCGGGTAGTTGTTCGGAGCTGCCAGCTACCGCCATGCCAACATCATCATTATTTTCGGTCTCCCCCGCGGCGTTCGTCGT